ATGGCTAACTACTATACGTATAACACAGCAAAAGATTACTGAAAGACAAGGAGAGAAGATAGATATATACACACCTGAGAACTGCAATGGTCAGAATCTGCACTGGAATGGGGAGCTGGAGCTATCTCATCACTCTCATCTTCATCTTCCAGGCGCCTAAAGAAATGATTCATTGTAGGCATATTCCCGGTGGCAAAGTGGGCCGTCAGCGATTCAACCTGCTGCTTAGGACTAGGACAAGGAAGCATGGTGTCTGCAATCTTGGGATGTATGCAGATCTTAGAAATTTGAGACTGAGTTACTGCCAGAAGAAGTGATACGAATCCCAGAAGCATCAACTCTGCACCAAACACAAAATAACATAGGAATTCAACATATCACAAAATGAATTGCATATTATCCAAGTTAAAGTTAGAAAAATGAATGTTTGCACCTGATTTGAGCCTCTCCACAGCGTCACTCAACGCAGATTTTCGACGATTCTTTAGCCACTGCATGGGTTTCATTTCATCCAAGTGTAAGCAATAAATCTTTTCAGAAGGAAGAAAGACTGAAGTTACTTACGTTGGTGAAAAGGTGGATAGCGTGCTCAAGGAAGATGGAAATGAAGATGAAAAAAAAGCAAACAGTGGCAAGAGCCCATGTAGGCGTGCGCTCAAGCGAACTTGCAGATGGATCCACTGGACCACCAGTCATGATTTTCGCTGTTTCTCTTGTAGTTTCAAGCTTCAAAGTTGTACTGACACAAAGGCCATATAATGACTGAAGAAGGCAAGACTAAGGGAAGACTTTGAGCATGAAAATATCAAGGAAATGCTAACGTTGATTTCATTCTTTTTTCTTTTTTCTTTATGTTCACACCAAATTAATTAGGTTCAAGTGGAATATCTGAGATTTCATTAAAATGTGTAGCTTTTGCCTCTGTCTATGTCAAAACCAAAAATACAACTAGAGCTTCTCCGTAGACTTGATTGTCAAGCATTGATATGTCATTCTCCGCAACAACGGGTCAACTTAAATAAATTTAGAAACGCTTCTCATTTTGAAATCACAGGTTTCCTACCGAGAAAGGAATAAAAGTGTTGGCTGAGGCATGCTAAAGTCAATAAAATGAATGGACAATTGAGCTCAAGAATGTGAATAGATAGAATGTTTAAAATATTATTCCAAGGATGGCTTTCTTGACTGTGGTTTCATCAACACATTTGACAGATTGATGCATTGAACAAAGATTATGCCAAACTGAGTAATTCTAGCTACCATATTGTGCAATTGATTTCAGCTTTTAACAATGATTATATTACTTGAATCTTTAAAACTTGCTCAAGCAAGAACTCATGCAAAAATGGGTTTTCCTAAAGGTACAATCTTGCATTAGTCAGGAATTGTGTGGTTCACCACTTTGGTGATGCAGAGGGGAAGTGCCCGAGTAACAGCTATACCTGATATGTTTCGTGGCATTCAAGTGCCAGTTCGACAAGATAATTGACACTTCCTCTTGGAATGGGAAAAAGGAAGGAGCTTTCGTGGTTGAATCCATGTATATAGGAAGAAAAATGGCCACCGGTTGAAAATGATCAAGATAAAGGCAGTCTTTGAGCAGACGCGCATGATGCATAGGTGAAGAACATATAGGGCACATTGTTTGATTAAATATGATTTTTTTTTAAACAGATACTTAATTAACAGTAATATGAGTCAGATGTAAGCATGACTTGGTTGCACATTCATCATCTTCCACATGCCCCTGTGAACGTAGAAATTATATATTCTTCACGCTGTCTTTTTCAACACCTAGTCTCAGTGCCTTTCTAGAACTGAACTTGTCAAACTCTTACTCTCCCTTCTCCTCTTCTTTTTTTCTTTGTTATCTTTAATTTTTTTTAACTAAATAAAAAAAAAAATTTCTCCCCCCTCAACTTCATTCTCCTTTAATTTTTTTATAATTAATTTTTTTCTTTCTTTCTTTCAATCCAAACATATAATTAAAAAAAATAAAGAAATTTTTTCAGGTCAAGAACTACCAACCGTCGTGACAAATTGGTCCCATGAGCACGCATTGACTCGAAGAGATTTCCATTTTTCAGCCTCCCCAGAACTACCGCTGTGGCCGGTTGGTCCTAGTCCTATTGACTCAGTGAGATTGAACATGCAGTGAGATTGAACATGTCAAACCTTGAAAAAGAAAGGGGCATTCCGAGAATTGAACTCGGGACCTCTCGCACCCTAAGCGAGAATCATACCACTAGACCAAATGCCCTTTTGTTTTTGTTATGCTCATTATATTTAATTTTAGTAGATAACAAATATCTCTTGAAAATAATTGCGATTTTTACAAACCCCTAGTTACGTTCCGACTGCTGGCTTAATGACTCAGTAGTTTAATGTAAATCTTTTTCAACAATCACCATGACAAGGGTTCAATCTCTACCACTCTTCCCCGAACCACTTGCCCTAATCAAAAAAAAAAAAAAAAAAAAAAATTATGTTCTAAACTGATAATTAACTACAATTGAACGGAGCTCAGCCAGGATGAAATTGAAGAGAGAATGGAAGAACCAGGAAAAATTCTGCCAATCCGAGTGGGAGAGAATTTTTGTAATACAATATATAAAGAATAAAATGGCAAATTATTGTGCAAGAGTAAATAGACATTGAACACATAGGATAAATTAATGGCTGCAAGAACAAAGATTACACGATAATTGTTGATTATCTGCTCAAAAGATTTCGGGATGGGATATATTCTTGAAACAGAGATATTGGAGTATAAGAAAGAACAGATTCAGCAGAAGAGAAAATAGTAACTGAAAATTTTATTTATTCTGAACAATCATCCTTTACTAGAAATCCAAATACTTAAAAAATAAAAATAAAAATAAAATAAAATCATAACCAGAGATTACTCATTTGGCATCCATCTCAGAGCTCACCACCACGAAGACGAAGAACAAGATGAAGCGTAGACTCCTTCTGAATATTGTAATCAGCGAGAGTGCGCCCGTCCTCCAGCTGTTTCCCGGCGAAGATAAGTCTCTGCTGATCCGGTGGGATGCCTTCCTTGTCTTGAATCTTCGCCTTCACATTGTCGATTGTATCGGAGCTCTCCACCTCCAGAGTGATTGTCTTCCCGGTTAGTGTTTTGACGAAGATCTGCATACCACCGCGGAGACGGAGGACCAGGTGGAGGGTGGACTCCTTTTGGATATTGTAATCTGCCAGAGTCCGGCCGTCCTCAAGCTGTTTGCCGGCGAAGATGAGTCTCTGCTGGTCAGGAGGGATGCCTTCCTTGTCCTGAATCTTTGCCTTCACATTGTCGATTGTGTCGGAGCTCTCCACCTCCAGCGTGATAGTCTTCCCGGTTAGGGTTTTGACGAAGATCTGCATTCCGCCTCGGAGACGGAGGACCAGGTGAAGAGTGGATTCCTTCTGGATATTATAATCCGCCAGAGTGCGACCGTCCTCGAGCTGTTTTCCTGCGAAGATCAGCCGCTGCTGATCCGGAGGGATGCCTTCCTTGTCCTGGATCTTCGCCTTAACATTATCGATTGAATCGGAACTCTCGACCTCGAGAGTGATGGTCTTGCCGGTTAGGGTTTTGACGAAAATCTGCATTTTCTACGAAGAGAAAGGATTGAGAGATTAGAATGAAGAATCGTCGATGGATTTTGTATGAGAAGAGAAGAGGGTATGAGAAGAGAAGAGGGAAGACCCTTTATATAGAAGAACCTAACCCACACCGGGAAGAACAAGAAACTAAAAAGTTGATCCGATCATTTCTGCCCACGCAGCGACGAAATGGTCCGGTAGGTTCCAGTATCTTCTTTTTCTCTCTAATCAAATCTCTATCCCTCTACTTCTGCAAAATTTCTAGGAAACCAGTAAAAA